ATGCGCGTGGGCAGTAGCCCCTGAAGCCCGGCCGGAAGGTGAGAGCGACCCCCAGACAGCGCAGAGACCCCCGCCCGGGGGCACGGCGCCCTGGGGCGCTGTGCCGGCCCGGCTTGCTGCTCTTCTGGGTGGGGGCAGGCGGGTGGGGAAGGGGACCGGGCTGCCCCGCCGAGCAGCGCCCAGCAGGCCCGGGTGGGAGGGCGCCCCTGTTCTGTCTGGTCGCGGGGTGGCTTCTGGCACCGCGGGAAGCTAGGGGGTCGCCTGGAGGATGCTCTGCCTCTCCACTCCCTCACTTAACCCGCTTTGTTTCCGCCACCAGCCACCAGCTAGGAGGGACTGACCGCGCCGAAAGTGCCTGGACCGGGAAGATGGGCAGAGACCCGTGCGCGGCGTCCCGCCCTGGCCTGCGGAGGTGAGAGACTTTTTGCCAGGTTCGCGCGACTCCCGCGAGCTGCGGCCTTTCCTTGTAACTTTCAGTGTTTAACCCGCCGCCCGCGTTGACCTCGCTCTTCCTCCTCTCCCCTGCAGGTGGCTACTGCTGGCAGCAGTGACAGTGGGCTTCCTGGCCCAGAGCGTCCTGGCGGTAAGTCCTGGCTTGGACTCGCGCACCGGAACGTGGTTGGGCATTGAGTGACCGTGCCAGAGGCGCCCGCCTGGGCCCGCGAGCGTGTGTGCACGTGCGTGTGTGTGTGTGTTCTCCTCCAGCCCCCCCAGCTGGGTTCTGGAAAAGCAGTCTTCACCGGAGCCTACTCCAGAACTCCTCGCCAGGGCCCCAGTTCCAGCCCTGTGCCTTACAGGCCCGCCCTTTCGGGAGCTAACCACTGAAAACATAGCCTGGGGCATCCTTTTCGTTCGTTGGGAAATGCTCCAGCCAGTGAAGGGAAGAACGTCAGTCCCCTGGCAGTGGGACATGGGGTGAGGGCCAGGGAAGTGTTGGTGGCGCTCTGGAGCCTCTGGGCAGGGCCGGTGTTCGGGGGCATTGTTGTGTTAATGGAGAGGTCGAGGAAGTGGGCGGGGCCAGAGACCTGGCCCACCTTACTGCTGCGGAAGTGCAGGGAAGGAGCCTGGGAAGAACCTTGTCTTCCCCAAGTCTCTGTCCTGCCCTGGAGGAACCACCATGGGAGCTGTGGGGGCCTCCCTCCTAGGACCCGGTTTGGTGCCTGTCCCAGCAGCTTGCCCCACAAGGCAGCCCCCAGACCCGCGCTTGCATTGGTGGTAGATCACACCAGAAATGTCATGGATTTTAAGGAGGAGCCTCTGTGTTGAGCTTTAGATGGCCACAGATGAGCTGCCCTGCCATGGGTCTCCACTGGAGGATGTGATTTAAAGGGACTGGAGATCCTGGGCGCTGCCTGGAGGCGCCACTCCACCCACTGCTTAGGCGTCCCCGGTGCAGGCCTTTCTGTGCATCCCTGGTGCACAGGGGCCCCTGCTGGGAATCACCACTCCTTCTCCAGGTCCCACTCCTGGGGTGACAGCTGCTTTTCTCTGTTGCCCTGATGTGAAACAAACAAGGATTTTAAAGTCAGGAGGGAGGAAGAGGTGTCCTCAC